GACAAGAGGTGGTACCCTGTACTACCGCCCACCCCAACAAAAAGGCAATGAAGAGTGTCTATGTTAGGGTTTCTATTGGAGTGAAGAGGCACCATGACCAAGGCAACTCTTATAAAAGAAAACATTTAATTGGGGGCTGGCTTACAGTTCAGAGGTTTAGTCCATTATACTCAAGGCGGGAAACAGAGGCATGCAGGCAGACAAGGTGCTGGAGAAGGAGCTGAGAGTTCTACATTGTGATCCACAGGCAGCAGGAAGTGGACTGCCACACTGGGTGTGGCTTGAGCATATATGAGATGGTAGAGCCCACGGTGACAGCTTCCTCCAACAAGGCCACACCTCCTAACAGTGCCACTCCCTATGGCCCAACCATTCAAACACATGGGTCTACCAGGGGCCATACCTGTCCAAACCACCACAAAAGAGTTAAGAGAAATGACAAGAAGGAAGAGAAAGAACACCTGTCTCCAAACTGTTCCTGAAAGCACAAGGAAAAAAACACAAATCTCATTCCACAAAGCAAGGTTACTCATACCGAAACCAAGTAAGACACAAGAACAAAGAAAATGAAAAAGCTATCGGCCAGTTCCCTGGATGAATGTAGATGTTCTTAATAAAATAGCAAACCACTGGGAAATCAGAGCAAGCGAGGCCATGTGCGGGGTCCGCACCAGTGCAGATGAATGAATTAAAATGCCTTCCAACCAAATTCAGCAAAATATTAAAGAGATCACACACCACGATTCAGTCAGTTTCATTCCAAGAATTCCCCTTTCACCAAACAGAAATCAATAAATGAAACACAGCACATAAATCAAATCAAGGACAAAAGTTAAACAACCACCTCCACATACACAGAAAAAGCCTTTTTGACAAAGTCTCACTCACATCGTCCCACAATAAAAAGCCTGAAGGAATCTGGAACAGAAAGATACCGCCACAACATGGTAAAGGTAAGGCGGGACAGACTCACAACCAACACCACAGCACACAGAGAAGAGGCCACAACACTCGATCCAAGGTCAGAAGTGTCCACTCTCTCCACACTTTTCAGAAGAGTGCTTGTGTTCTCTAGCAGAGTAAGAACTAAACAGGGCACAAGTGTGAAAAAAAAAAAGTCAGATTACCCACATTTGCAAATGGTGAGGTCCACACTGAAAGACCATCCTCAGCCAGGCCGCGGTGGCACATGCTTTTAGTCCCAGCACTCGGGAGGCAGAGGCAGGCCGATCTCTGTGAGTTCGAGGCCAGCCTGGTCTACAGAGCAGTTCCAGGACAGCCAAGGCTACAAAGAGAAATCCTCTCTCTACAAAACAAAATAAACAAACAAACAAACAAAAAGTCACAATGACACCCCCCCTCACAGAAAAAAAAAAATCCTATACAGAACAAAGAAAAAATATTAAGAGCCACAAAGGAAAAAGACCAAGTAACATATAAAGGCAAACCCATCAGAATAACACCAGACTTCTCAATAGAGACTATGAAAGCCAGAAGGTCCTGGTCAAATGTTATGCAGACACTAAGAGACCACGGATGCCAACCCAAACTATTATACCCAGCAAAACTCTCAATCACCACAGACGGAGTAAACAAAATATTCCATGATAAAACCAGATTTAAACAATACCTATCCACAAATCCAGCCCTACAGAAAGCACTAGAAGGAAAAAACCCAACCTAAAGAAGCTAAACACTCCCAAGAAAAAAACAATCCTAAAGTTCATACGAAAACACAAAGACCTTGAATAACCAAAGCAATCCTCAGAAGAAAGAGCAAGGCTGGGGATCAAAATACCTGACCTCAGAGTACACCAGGGCTGCAGTAACAAAACAGCATGTGCTGGCACAAAACACAAACCAAAGCACTAGAACAGTGAAGCCAGAGCGGAGAAGACAGCCCAGTGTACAGCACTCACCAGCTGCTCTTCTAGGGGACCTAAGTGTAATTCTCAGCACCTACATGGTGGCACCAACTGTCTGTAACTCCAGTCAACGGGATCTGATGTCTTCTTTTGGCCTCGGTAGGCACCAGGAATGCATGTGGTACAGAGACAAAAACCTCACACACAAAAAGTACTAATTTTTATAGAGAGAGAGAACCAGAAACAAACCCACACAGCTACAATCCCCTAAGTTTGGCAAAGAGCAGCTTTTTCTGCAAAGGGAAAACTGGATAGCCACATGTAGAACAAAACCAAAGGCCTCTCTCACCCTGCTCAAAAATCAGTTCAAACTGGATCAAAGACCTTAAGGTACCACCTGAAGGGAAAAATAGAGGACACACTTCAATACAGAGGTCTAAGCGAGGAGTTGCCGAAAAGTCCTTCAGGAACTCAGGAAATAATATGGAGAATGATTGATGGGCAGGGGATTAGAGAATTGGCTCAGAGTGCACTTGTTGCTCTGGTAGAGGATCTGGGCTCAATTCCAAGCACCCACATGGCAGCTCACAACTATCCATCACTCCACTTCAGGTGGATCTGACATTCTTTTCTGAACTCCACAGGCACAGACATACATGCAGCAAAGCACTCATGTGATGATATTTTACCTGTGTCCCCCAATAGAATTTATCTTAGGATCATAAGAAAAAAGCCAGCCACTATATTAAATGTAGAAGTCATGCAATGGTAGCACACGCCTTTAATCCTATCACTCCGGAGGTAGGTATCAGTCTGGATCTCTGTGAGTTCAAGGCCACACTGGGAACAGAGCCAGGCATGGGGGCACACGACTTAAATCCCAACACTAGTTAACCAGGGAGGTCTGAAGGTCTGTACAGACAGACAGGAAGTGACAGAGTTGGGCTGGAAGAAGAAGTGATGCAGCTGGACAGGACAGCAAATGAGATAGCAGGACACAAAGGCATATAGGTGTAGGTAGACAGAAATTAGGTATCTTTGGAGACTGTGGTGTCAGTGAGGTGAGGTTAGCTTGTGGCTTTTCCTATTTCTCTGATATCTCAGGTAAATTTTATTGGGGGACACAGATAAAATATCACAACACACGCATACACATAATGCAAAATAAAATCAATCTAAAAAAAGAAAAAAAAGAGGCCGGGCAGTGGTGGTGCATGCCTTTAATCCCAGCACTCGGGAGCCAGAGACAGGCACCAAAAACTACACAGAGAAAGCCTGTCTTGAAAACTCAAAAAAAACAAAAACAAAACACAAAACAAAAAATTGACTAATGCACGCAGGCACACACCTTTAGTCCCAGCCCTCTGAAGGCAGAGGCAGGCAGATCTCTAGGAGTTTGAGTCCAGCCTGGTCTACATAGGGAGTTCCAAGCCAGCCATGGAGACATAGTAAACCCTGTCTCAAGGTAGAAAAAAAAATTTTTTTAAAGAACTGACTAATGGGATTGCATGAAATTAAAAAGCTTTTTCACAGCCAAGGAAACCAGCAGAATGAACAGACAGCCTGCATAATGGAAGAAAATCTGTGCCAAGTAAACATGTGATAGGGGGTGAAATATCCTGAATCTATAAAGAACTCAAGCCAGACTCAGTGGCTCACACCTGTAATCTCAGGACTGAGGAAGATGAGTCAAGATTGCCAAGGGTTTGAGGCCAGCCTGGGCTACAAGCCTGCAGTACACACAGTGTGAAAGCCTGCCTCACAGAGACAGACAGAGAGAAAACAAGCTCCCAGGTGTGGTGGCACACACTTACGATCCCAGCACTTGGGAGGTGGAGGCAGGAGGGTCAGAATTACAAGGTCAGACTCGTTTATGTAATAAGTTCAAAACCAGCCTGGGATACACGAAAACCAGTCCTGAAAAAGCAAAGAATAAATTAGGAAGACACCAGTTGTGGCTTGAATGAGAATGGCCCACAGGTTCATATGTTTGAATACCTGGCCCCTGGTTGGGGGAACTGTTTGGGAAGGATGAGGAGGTGTGGCCCTGTGGGCAGAGGTGTGTCACCAGGGGCTGGCTTTAGGGTTTCAAAAGAGTCGGGCCATCCCCAACGTGTTCTCTGCTTCATGTTTGTGGATCAAGATGTGAGTTCTCAGTCCCTACCTTACCATGTCTGCTGTCTGCTTTGTGCTACTTCTAGCCATCATGGACTCTGACCCTCTGGAACTGTAAGCCCAATTAAACACACCTGCTTTTAGAAGTTGCCTTAGTCATGGTGTTTTATCACAGCAATAGAAAAGTAACTGAGACACCATCCCAATGTCAATCTTTGGTCCTCATATGTTCAGACAAACACACACGCACGCACACAAATATTATAAATACATAAACCATGTTCATATATATATATATATATATATATATATATATATATATATATATAAATTATATCTCTGTCCGTACATGGAGAGAAGAAAGAGAGGAAAGAAATACTACCCAAAAATTACTCCCATTTAAACTGCAAGGGAAATTAAAAGACCCAGAAGGGAGGTCCCTCAAGATGGCTCAGGGGATAGAGGTGCTTGCCACCCAGCCTCATGACCCACAGAACTACAAGAAGGTGAAAGGGCAAAGCTGACTCTTGAGAGGTGTCTTCCATTCAGGCAAGATGGCACACACACAATCACACACACACACACACACACACACACACACACACACACAATCACACGCACACACCACACACACATACACACAATCACACACACAGACAGACACACACACACACACTAATTTTCTTTTAAAAAACAGAAGGGCAAGAGAGTTGGCTTCGAGGTCAGAAACATTGGCTGCTCTTCCAGAGTACCCGGATTCAATTCCCAGCACCCACATGGCGGCTCATAACCACCTCTAATTTCAGCTCCAGGGGATCCTACACCTTCTTCTGCTTCTGAGGGCACCAGGCATGCAGGCCAACACCATACACACAAAATAAAACTTAAATTAAAAAAACAAGTAAATAAAACATAAAAAAGAAACAAAAGGCTCCGTAGTGACAGAAAACATTTTCCTCGCATCATGAAAAACGCAAGACGTTTTTAATTTTTGATCCAAAAGAAAGCCATTTCACTTACTAGCATGCTTATCGGCAAGCATTATAAGCGTGTTGGAGATATCACGTCGTCTATAAAAGCATACTACTTTTGCTTCCACGTTGCCACTTGCAGTCTAAGAAATAAGAAAAACAAAAGTCATAGGGGGCCTGAAGTCTCAAAGATAAAACATGCTTAAAAGCTGCGTGTGGCAGCTCGCGCCTAGAACCCCAGCACTTGAAAAGCTCAATCAGAAGACACCAGAGTTAGCGGCCAGTGTGATCAACACAGAGTTCCGTAACAGCCAGGGCTACGCAGCAAGACACTGTCTCAAAAAACAAACAACAAGCCAGGCGGTGGTGGCGCGCGCCTTTAATCCCAGCACTCGGGAGGCAGAGCCAGGCGGATCTCTGTGAGTTCGAGGCCAGCCTGGTCTACCGAGTGAGTCCCAGGAAAGGCGCAAAGCTACACAGAGAAACCCTGTCTCGAAAAACCAAAAAAAAAAACAAAACAAAACAAACAACGGTGAAACCCAGAGACAAGGAAAGGGAGGAAGAGCTCCCCCTAACTTTGTGTGTAGGTGCTATGGGACAGGGTTTCTCGTAATCCAGGCTGGCCTGGAACTCTCTCTCCTCTTGCCTTCACCTCCCCCAGACATTCACAACCATATCAGCCTGATAAATTCCTCCAATTTTAAAAGCCACAAATAATTGGTTCATGGCCCTGGATGCAGTCATCTTTGTAAAGCATTGCTGTACATTGCTCAAACCCATCCCCAGACCGCACAGGTTAAGGGTAACATCACCCAGTCCCAGTTCTTGGATGACTCTCTGCAGGGGGCGGGAGCCAGCATGCAGGACAGAACTGCAAAAACATGCTCCACGCAGTCAATAGTCTCAGTTTTACCTCCACAGGTGAAAACATCCAAAATTGTAAGTTCCCAACACGGAAGTCTTTCTAACTAGAGTCTAGAATACAATGAGTTCGGCTGTAATTGACTGTAGCCGAGGCCCAGGCTCCTGTTCTAATATCTATAAATTCCGCAGGCTTTCAAGCAGGTCAATCACTCACTGGCAAGCTCTTCATAAAAACACACAGATTACAATAAAATGTTACCATAATGTTACCATAATGTCCGATTTCTAACATACGTGGCACACGCTGTCAGAATGTATCTGGACTTAAAGATATATTCAAATATCAAGAACATATACCATAATAAATTTGTCAATTTTACCAAACTCAGCAGCAACATTTCCGTTCAGCAGCAATATTTGAGTGGCAAACGGTACTGTGGAAATATTGCCCCTTCAAATTGAAATCATATTAAACTCCTTCCCAAATGCCAATATATTTCGTAATGTTGTGATCAAACTCATCCTCCGGAAGCAATGATCCAGCAATCTGCTAAATGAACAGGCCGATATTTCCATGTAAATAAAATCTAGGGCTGACTCTACGCGCTTCCTCCTTTCTGTCTCATTAGTGAGCTTTCCTAGCGATGCTCTACAAAGATGATTAAATTCTCAGTTAAACCTGCTTGAGGGAGAAAGAGGTAGTTCAGAATATTTCTTCTTTTCCCTGGTTTTTTTTTGTTTTTGGTTTTTTTTTTTTGCTTTTTTGAGACAGGGTTTCTCTGTGCAGCCCTGGCTGTCCTGGAACTCACTCTGTAGACCAGGCTGGTCTTGAACTCAGATTGCCTGCCTCTGCCTCCTGAGTGCTGGGATTAAAGGGGTGTGCCACACACACAGTTTTTTTAAAGTCAAGATCTGACTACATAACAATGGCTGTTTCAGAACTGGCAATCCGAGGGGGTGGGGGGTGGGGGGTGGCCCACACCTTTAATCCCAGCACTTGGGAGGCAGAGGCAGAGGTAGGCGGATGTGAGTTCAAGGCTAGCCTGGTCTACAGAGCAAGTTCCAGGACAGGCTCCAAAGCTACACAGAGAAACACTGTCTCAAAAGAAAAACAAAAACAAGAACTGGCAATCCTCCTGCCTCAGCCTGCCTAGTGCTAAAATTAATAGGTGTACAGCATCATACTTGGAGGTAAAAATAGCTGGGTGAGTCCGAGTGTGATGATGAACACCTTTAGTCCCAGCACTCAGGAGGCAGAGGCAGGAGAATCTCTGTGAGTTAAGGCCAGCCTGGTCTATATAGCGAGTTCCAGGACAGTTAAGGGGAAACCCTGTCTCAAAAAAATCAAAAACAAGACAAAAAAAAAAACCTCTTTGGGTCTGGAGATGGCTCAATGATTAAAAGCATTGGCTCCTCTTCCAAAGGGCCCATGACTCAATTCCCAGCACCCACAGGGCAGCACACAACTATCTATAACTCCAGTTCCGGGGAATCTGACACCCTCACACAGATATACATGTAGGCAAAACATCAATGCACATAAAACAAAAATAATAATAATAACGTCCTCAGGACTAAGGGGTGTGGCTCAGTGACGGGTGCATTCTTAGGATGTGCACAGCCTGGGGTTGAATCCCCAGCATCGACAATGTTCTCCTGGGCCACATACACTCTTGACCATGGGATCACTCACAACAGTGCAGTATTGTTCTTCCCTTAGGACTGCGGAGGCATTGTCCATCCTCGGGACTATAGTACAACACCGCTTTTCCCTTCCACAAAATACCCACAAACCATTTCTCTGAAGCTTTGCTAGTCTGAATAATGCTCCATTGAGGAGTGGCTAGTCTGGTGTGTAAAGCAGAGAGTGCAGGGACTGGGGTGGGGGTGAGTGTGTTATAGATGTTAAGAGTTAACACTGGACTTGGTGGGATGCCCCTCCTAGAATCAGACGGAGACAGGACAATGAGAATTGAAGACAAACCTGGGCTTTGTCTCAAAACAAAACAAAAAAACCACAGCCCAGTGATATAGCACTGGCCCAGCATGTTCAAGGCCCTGGGTTCAATCCCCAATACTCCAAATGGAGAGTCCGGCAGATCAATGGGAAAGTTTCCTAATTTCCATGTCTATTGCCAATAGTTCCCAAACGGCAGGAGGGATCCTGATTAATGCTCCATGAAATGGCTTTAGGGAATCTTTGGAAATTATTTGCAAAAACTTGTATATGCAGGTGGGGTAACTCAGTACCTCACCAATGCTATAAACTCGGCATTCAATAGGCAGAGGCAGGAGGATTGCCCCAGGTTTTGAGTCCAGCTCAGTCTATATTGCAAGTTCTAGGTCAACAGGTCTACACTGTGAGAATCTCTCAAAAAGCAATACAGCTCAGTGGTAGGGCATTTGTCTAGCATACGCAGGGGCCTGGGATCAGTGTTTAGTGAAGGGTAGTGTGGTGGTAGCTGGGGAAGGCTACAGGTATAGCTCAACACCCCAGCAAGACAGGCGTGTTGGAGTCCATCTGTGATTCTAGCATTCAGAAGGCAGAGGCAGGAGATGAGTTCAAAGCCCACCTCTGCCTCATAGTGAGCTCAAGACCAACGTAGGTTATGTGTGAAATAGAAACTTTGAGGTCAGCATGAATCACCAAGAAAGTTCAAGACCAACCTGGGGAGCACAGCAAGACTTGCCCCCATGCTGGGCGTGGTGGCACAGGTCTTTAATACTAACACTTGAGGCAGGCAGATTTCTGTGCTTTTTGAGGCCAGCCCGGTCTACACAGGAAGTTCCAGGCCAGCCAGGATGACAGAGCGAAACCGGGTCACAAAAAATAAAGCATGCAGTCTCAATCTTTGTTTTGACCATGGGGGCACATTTAGCCACTGAACCATCTTACTGACCCTCTCTTGTCCTTTAAAAGATTTTTTTTTCTTCTGTTTTGCACTGCCAGGGGTGGTAAGCCTTAGAAATGGAAAGCAAGTGCCGTACCACTGAGCAACACGGCCTTGAATTAAATATTTGAAGGTGATAAATGACGTGGGGAGAAGGTAAGCAGGAGGCATTTTTATTTGTTGTTCGGGCTAGCCTTGAGCTCTCCACTGGCTGATAAAGACTTCCCATCCCCCAGCCTCTATCTCCTCAGGGCTGGGACTATCGGTGTGCACACCACCACACCCAGCTTTTTCTGGGCTGGGCACTGGACCCAGGAGCTTTGTGTGTGCTAGGCAAGCACTTACCAACTGAGCTGTAGGGTTTTTGTTTTTGTTTTTGGTTTTGGTTTTTTGGTTTTTCGAGACAGGGTTTCTCTGTGTAGCTTTGGAGCCTGTCCTGCAACTCACTCTGTAGACCAGGCTGGCCTCGAACTCTCAGAAATCCATCCACCTGGCTCTGCCTCCCGAGTGCTGGGATTAAAGGGGTGCACCACCACCGCCCGGCCTGAGCGGTAGTTTTTTGGCACTTTCAGACACTGAAAAAGCATGGGTGATGTAAAACATGTATTTTAGAGATGAAGATATCTGCCATCAAAATAAAAGTAAAATTAGAGAGGTGCTAAACCTCAGTAAAATGTCGCACACAGGAGACTGCTCTGTAGACGTGTGATCTGGAGTTCAATTAGTTGCCTCTTTTCAGTTAACAGGGTTAAAGAACCCAGGACCTTGCCTGGTCTCCTTAAAACTCTGGAACTTTTTAGATTCAAAACTAAAATCTCTTGATAAACATGGTTCGATGTTTATTTTGTGTTCCTCTGCTTTAGGTGGCGCACATCTCTCATCCCAGCCCTTGGGAGAGAGCGCCAGGAGTTCACAGCCAGCCTGGACTTCATGCAACCCTGTCTCAAAACCAGAAACCAAAACCAAAACAGCAAAAACTTCTCTTTTTTACGTTCCCTAGTCTGTACTCAGATGAAATGACAATGTTTTAGAGGAAACACACACACATACATATAAATTTATTCATACTATGTTGTGTTTGTTTTCAAAAACCGTTTTCCCAAACTAGTGTGTCTTTTGTTTCAGTCAATAACACATTTCAAGCATCTTAGGATAAATGATTGACACATAGGTAAAAGCATTAAATAAACAATTGTTGAACTAATGCCTTTCTAAATTGTGTCATGGGTTTTTTTGTTTGTTTGTTTTTTCGAGACAGGGTTTCTCTGTGTAGTTTTGGTGCCTGTCCTGGATCTCGCTCTGTAGACCAGGCTGGCCTCAAATTCACAGAGATCCGCCTGCCTCTGCCTTTCCCCACCCAACTGGTTTTCTTTTCCATTGTGGTTTTAAATTTTGTTTTCCCTTCCTTTCGGTTTTTGAGACCCATGTCCCACTGGCCTGGAACTCCCCAAGTAGGTTCGCCTGGGTGGCTTGTGAGCCCCAGGGCAAGGACTGTAAGCAGGAGTCACTAAACCGGTTTTTCTTTCTATCTTTGAACATGGGTTCTGGGTGTTTGAACTTGGGTCCTCATAGCTTGCCAGGCAAACGCTTTACCACCTGAGCTATCTTCCCAGCCTCCCATTTTGTTTCTCAAGACAGTCTTAAGGATTAAAACCCAGGCCAGACTTGAACTAGATAGACTATTCCTGGGTCCGTCTCCCAAGTGCTAGGATCACATTGACTCATTTTACAATTTGGGGGCGGGGTGGGTGAGACAAGGCCTCGTTCTGTAGCCCAAGCTGACCCTGAGCTCCCACGGGCCTGACTACAGGCGTAAACCGCCATGTCTAGTTTAGAAGGATTCTTCCTTCTAAAGCTAGGGGAGGAAAATATGAATTCACTAACAATTGCAAAACATAGCACTTGGGAAGCTGAGGCAGGAGGATTGTGATTTTGAAGTCACTGAAAGCCTGTCTCAAAGAAACAAACAAAATACATACTACAGTTCTAAATAGGGAAAGGAACCGAGCGAGTTCTTTAAAGAACAGACCTGATCTTCAACACTCAAAGCAATTTGAAGAGATCTGCAATCTTTTATTCAATAACATCAGACCAAAAAAAAAAAAAAAAAACTTGAATAAAAAGTAAACACTCAGAAGCCTGTGGAACTCTGTAGACTGTGAAAGACTTTCAGAGTCTAGAACTGAACGTGAGTTCAAGGCCAGCCTGGTCTACAGAGCAAGTTCTAGGACAGTTAGGGCTACACAGAGAAACCCTGTCTCTCGGGGGGAAAAATTAATTCTTAATCTAGAACTGAAAGTAAAAATCACGCCTTAGGCCCTTTACCCAGAACCCCTAGTGGAAAGCACCTTGGTGGTCAACAGCTGACGCAAGGACACGGCTCACCTTGTTCAGTTCTTCTATTCTTCTGATTAGGTATGGGTTGCTGGAGGAATTCTCAAAGTAAACATAATCTGCAATCAGAAAGTTACAGAATTGTTCAACAAACAGTTCACATTAGACAGCCCCCTTTTTTGCTGCTGTATTTTGCTTGTGTGCTTGCCTTTGGACAGGGTCACATTACACAGCCCTGGGTGTCTCAGAACTTGCCATGTTAACCAGGCTGGCCTCAAACTCAGAGACCTGCTTCCCTCTGCCTAGGATTAAAGTGCTGAGATTAAAAGTGTGCAACAGGGCCAGGCCTGGTGGCACACGCCTTTAATCCCAGCACTCAGGAGGCAGAGGCAGGTGGATATCTGTGAGTTCAAGGCCAGCCTGGTCTACAGAGTGAGTTCCAGGACAGCCAGGGCTACACAGAGAAACCCTGTCTCGAAAACAAACAAAAAAGTGTGCAAGTTTATTGATACAACTTTCTATATTAGGCAATTCACCTTAGTAAGTAGGTAATCCACTCATTGTAATGCAGCCTCAATAAGCTGTACCCTGCCTGTTACTTTCATAGACTTCCCACTTTTAAGTAGCCCAAACCAATTTATAACTCAATATCCCCCTGCCTCATATGTGTTGGCACCGGTGGCATGCACCACCCCCTGCTTAAGTTTCTCTTACTTTTGCTTTTAGAAATAGCTTTCCTGCCGGGCGGTGGTGGCGCACGCCTTAATCCCAGCACTCGGGAGGCAGAGGCAGGAGGATCTCTGTGAGTTCGAGGCCAGCCTGGTCTACAAAGTGAGTTCCAGGAAAGGCGCAAAACTACAGAGAAACCCTGTCTCGAAAAACCAAAAAAAAAAAAAAAAAAAAAAAGAAATAGCTTTCCATTAGTCCAAGATGACAAGAACTAGCTATGTAACTGAGACTGGCCCTCAGCTCCTGAGTCTCCTGCCCCTACCTCTTACAGGCTGAATTTACTAGCATGTGCCACAATGCCCAGCCTTAAATTAATTATTTAATTTAAAAAAAAAAAAAGGAAGAAGTATGACTTGGTGTAATGGGGGGGAGGGCTGCAAAGACAGGATTACTTAAGTAGGGGCCAGCCTCAGCTACATACCAAGACTTTGTCTCAAAAAGAAAACAAACAAACAAAAAGCATACGCCTTAAGTCCTAGCACTTGGGAGGCAGAGGCAGACAGATTTCTGGGAGGCCAGCCTGGTCTACAGAGTGAGTTCCAGGGCAGCTAGGGCTATGTAAACACCCTGTCTCAAACAAAACAAAACCAAAACCACCACAACAATGATGGCCAGACTTCGTCATCACTGTGTATCATCAGAGCTCAGTAACAGCATCTTCCCAGGGCAGCTTCCGCCTCATCCTTTCCCTCCAAACCAATCGGCCCTGGAGAATGTTTCTTACATAAAACTGTTGACCTAAGACAAATTCAGAGCAAAGAGAAAGGCTTACCAGCCCAATTTCATTTCAAGCATCAACTTAAAAAAAATAAATAAATAAAAAATGCGGCGGGCAGAGTGGGTAAGAGAAAAGCCTGGTAGCAAACTTTGCCATGCTCTCCCTGGGAAGGTGAACAGGGCAGGGCTCCTTGCTGAGAGACAGAGCCATCTAGGGAGGGTGTTGGGATCTTTCTGACCCTTTTATCATATTTGATCCAACTCCATTCAGGCCCTTATAAAGAAATCACGGCAAGCTGTCAACTAAACCTACAAGATCTTCCCACGCGTGGCTTTTCCTTCCACAGAGTCGCTGGAAACTCCCCCACTGTGTGTTCACCTGAGGGACTAGACTGCACCGTCACTGTCGACCTTAGCGGCCCCCTCCAGGCGAGGCTCTCCGCTGCTAAGTGGCCTCCTTTTAGCCAGGCCATTCCCTACCACCATCCATCAGGAAGGAGCTCAGCTAATGAGCAGAGAGGGCAGAGCCAGCCTCACTCACAAACACGCCACTTATCTGAATTATTATTTTACCAGGAAGGAGGGAGGGAGGGAGGGCGTCGTGAGCAGGGAAAGTTTGTTTGACCTTATTTCTCTCTTCTGCAGGAGAAGGCTGGGGAAGACAGACAGCAAGAGCCAACGTCCTGGCTGAGCTCAAACTCCCCACCTGGGGCTGCGGATCCCTGCCCCCGCCCCCCTCCACACACACACATATACAGCCCCACTCTTGGGGCGGGGTGGGGGGGGGGGTGTGCTGAACGAGAACCCGAAGGGGTTGGAGAGGGGGGGGGGAAGCAGCGAAGGTGCAGAGAGCCCTGGCTCTGCAAAACAGGCCTGTCCAGCTGTGCCACCATCGTCCCCCAGCCCACACGGAAGCAGAAGCAGAAGCGGGGTCGGGGGTGGGGGGGAAGGGGGGGAGGGGGGAGGAGGTTGTCCCTCCACTCCCCAGTGCCCAAAAGCCACGCGAGGAAAAAAAGCCACTGGGCTAAAGGGGGGCTTTGCAGGGGCCCTGTCCCTTTGGGACGCTCGTAAAGGGGGGGAGGGAAGAGGGGGTGTCCGATGCGTGTCCCCAAGAAGAGGCCTGGAGCCCTGCGACGCCGGGCAGGGGCGGTGGGGGAGGGGAGTGGGGGTGGGGAGCCCCCCCCCTGCTCCCCGCCCGCCCGCCCGCCCGCCCGCGGCGCCCTCGGCCCGGGCTCCCGGGGCTGCCGGCGGTGTGCGTGCGCTGCCCGGACCCCCGCTCCCGCCGCCCGCGCCCCGACGGGGCCGGGGAAGGGCCGGGCCTTCCTACCTCCGACCCGGTACATGTTGGCCGCCATGTCCGCCCGCCCGCCCGCGGAGCCCGAGCCGAGCCCCGCCCGCCGCCGCCGCCGCCGCCGCCTCGACCGCCGCTGCCGCCGCCGCCGCCGCCGCCGCCTCGCCACGGGGGAGGGGGAGGGACGGGGAGGGGACACCGAGGGAGGGGGCTGTGCCCGCCCCCAGCGCCGGCCGAGCGACGCCGAGCGGGCCCGGGAGGCCGGAGAGCAGCGGGGGGACGGGGGCGCCGGGCTGCGGGGGGGACGGGGACCCCGGGGGCCACTCCGTGCGAACCTCCGGGAGCACCCCAGGGCCAGGGTCTGTGCAGGGACCTGGGTGGGGACAGAGGATCGGCCACTGCGAGCGTCTGTCTCCCTTTGCCCTCGTCACCTGTCCACCTTGGGACAGGTTCTCCTTGCCTGCTTCTGTCCCCGTCCCCCCCCCCCGGGGACACCCCTCCCCTCCCCTCCTCCTCTCCGTGTGACCTCAAGCCCATATGAACGCCCTTCTGGGTGCAACTCTCCCGATTTAGTCAAGGCAGGCGACAGAGGCTGGCGTCCCTCCCTCGTGGTGAGAGGGTGTTTGGTGTGGCTTTAGAGCCTGCATGCAGCAGGCCCTGGGTTCCCCCCACTCCGAGAAGACCCCGTGTGCACGCTGCTTGGCCAGTCTGAGACCCAGCCACGAAAAGAGCTCAGAGAAGCTGGATCTCCAACCCCAACCACATTGGGAGGTCTGTCATGGTTGGGCCAAAACTGAGCTGAGCAGAACTGACTTCCTCACATCCTCAGGCCTTGCCTCTAACCAGGCTCTGTGCACGGCGCGTGCTTTAACCAAGAGAAACCTTTGGCACAGGAAGGCTTCCTTGGCCGGTAGGGGAACAGGGTTTCCCCAATCTGCCGTTGCCCCCAGCAAAAGGAGGAGGTCCTGTCAAAACAGTTTGGTGTAGCTGGTCGGCTAACTGGCCTCCCCTCCCCCTCCCTTTCTTTTGCAGTATTGGGGGTTGAAGCCAGGGCTTTGCGCGTCCTTGTCAGTGAACTGCAGCCCCAGCTCTTTGCTGTTTGCTGGTTTGTTTTTGAATTTTCAGTACATACATTTATTTATTTGTTTGTTTGTTTGTTTGTTTGTTTGTTTATTTATTTATTATATACGATGTGAGGGCATGATGGCCATGACACATAGATGTAGGTCTAGCCTATGGGTCTGGGGGTTGAACTCAGGTAGTCATTTCTCACTGAGCTATCTCAGCAGCCTTATTTATTTTAAGCAGGGTCTAGGCTCGGGCTGGCTCTTGCCGTCTCCAGCCTCTGCTTCTCAAGTGCTGGGATTGTATGAGAGGTGTGGGATACCATGCCCTACTGGAGAGCGTTTAAATGGTTAATTTTCCCATGCTGATTAGGTATGCATGCCCTTTTCACATTCCTCATACCCTGCGTGAGGGTTTGACTAGAGAAGCCCCTCTAGGTAGGGAGCATCTGTAATCCCAGTACTCAGGAGCCTCTCTAGTTTGTGGCCAGCTTGGGATACTGAGCAAGACCTTCTTCTGGACTGCCTTGCCCCAAATGAACACACAGCTTCCTTTAGGAAAGCCAAGCCATTCCAAACTACACCCAGACACGGTTGCGTAATAAACATGACGAAGATCGTCCACTAGTGCCTGGTGATACTGACTGAGTTTCAGGTCTGTGCCAGGGTGGGAGGTGTCCCCAGAAAAGGAGACTGCACTTGAGTTGATGTTCCTTTATCACAAAATATTGAGGAAAAATCATCTCAGGAGTAACTGAGGCAAATAAATAAATGTGCTTTTGCCGTTACCCCATGGATTAGTCTGTGGCCTGTTTTCACATCTATAAAGTGGAGACGTTACTTCCACCGCACAGGTGTGAGAAGGGTCGGCTGTGATGATATCTGAAGATGCTTTGTAACCAGACCACGGGGGGGGGGGGGGGGGGGGGGGGGGGGGGGCAGTACGCAAACAGCAGGTGTCTGTCGCTTCCTCTTTACCTTAGGAAGCCTCAGATTCCAGAGGAGTCAGTCCTTAGAATGCTCCAACCTGTTGAGCCCTGGGCTCTTCAGGCTCAGAGAGGAAAACGAAAGTGCTCTGGCACAATGACAGCATAACTGTTATTTATCATGCATGACTCTTCCGCGGGAGATCCCCCCCAAAAGCATACTGTGACTTATCTCCACCACTCTCCGTTTCTGAGCTGACACACAAATAGGTCGGATAATTCACCTGGAATAGTCTCCTGGCATCGGTAAGAACTAAATGTAATTCAGAGCTTTCCTCTGGCCCACCAGTCTCCTGAGCTACAAAGTCTGTCTTCTAGTAAGAATGCCGCCTGAAAAATTTCAAGGAGACGGATCATGAGTTTCAGAAGGTTGGCTCATAATTTTTAAGTAATAAATGAACAAGAGTTGGTGGGCAGGCGGTTACAGGGGCAGGACTCAGTAGGGTAAAGACGCTTGCTGCCACGCTCGGTGACTTGATTTTGATCCCTAGAGTCCACATGGTGGAAAGAGAAAACCAATTCTCAAAAGTTGTCGATCCGCAGAGCCCCACATGCACAGCATAGCCTACATACATGCGCACACACACACACTACTAAGTTTTCTTCTTGAAGGCCCATTGGCATGAAGAGCAGGAGTTCAAGATTACCCTAAACTGCATAGTAAATCTGAAGCTAGCTGGGGCTCCGTGGCTGGGATGTAGCCTAGTTGATAGAACGTTTCCCTACCATGCATGAAGCTCTGGGTTAGACCCTCGGTCCTGAATAAACCCATCCTGATAGCCTATGCTTCTGATCCCTGCACCCAATCCTTGGGTTGAAAGTGGAGATAGTTGGACACAGAGCTCAGGGTCTTCCTCAGCTACACAATGTAAAGCCATCCTGGACTACACGAGACCCCATCTCACAAACAGTAAGTACAAAAATTTCGTATGCCTGTATTCTTGTTACTTCCTTGTCTGCTTGTGTCATTTCCTCAGGTGTTTGAGGTCCCTAACCTTACCACAATAAGTGTGTGAAAAGGGCTAAGAACGTTTCCCACGCCCGCCCACACTCAACTTTTCTCCTTAGGAGCAGCCTCAGCCTGGAGACCCCATTACAGACTAAGTAATGATGGGGACCACCACACCAGACTCCCTCGCCCCCCCTAGATTCTGTGTTAAGCCCCTTCTACCTCCAGCTCCAAGACAGGATCCTCTACATAGCAAACGCTTAATATCTTAAAGAATCGGGGAGGACGGGTAGCTCAGCAGTTAGAGCATACACGGCTCTTCCAGAGGACCCAAGTTAAGATCCCAGAACCCCTATCAGATAACTCACAATTGTCTGTAACTCCACCTCCAAGGGATTCAACATCTTCTTCTGGCCTCTGCATATACCTACACTCACTCCCATGCATATGCCTACACACAAACACACATACATACACATAAATAAAAATACATCTCTATTTTTTTCAAGACAGAATTTCTCTGTGTAGCCCTGGCTGTCTTGGAACTCCCTCTATAGACCAGGCTGGCCTCCAACTTAGAGGTCCACCGGCCTCTGCCCTCCCCAGTACTGGGATCAAAGGCATGTGCCACCACTGCCTGGCTATCAAAATCGATCTTAAAATAAAAAAGAATAAATGGAGGCTGAGGTTTGTGGCTCCGTTGGTAGAATGCACACCTAACATCAGCATGAAGTCCTGAGTTCGATCCCCAGCGTTGAATAAACCAGGTGTGATCCCGCCACATGTTACAGACTTTGTGTTTGCGAGGTCCCCTTTTCTTTCTAACCATTCTCAAGCACCCCTAAAGAAGAGATGTCTCCTCAAGCATGTCAGAAGCACCAAAGCCAATCAGGTCTTCCCACGGGTGAAGCTTCCCATGGCTGTTGTGATTAAAGCAGCGCATGGAAAGGACTGTCCGAGGCCCACGTGTCCTTTCTGTTGGTATCGAGGACCCCGCCCCGTCAGCTGCAAGAAAGCTTCAAATGAGACAGGTGTGGTGGCATCTACCTATATGATCCGAGTTCCCTGGAGGTAGAGGCAGAAGGACCAGGAGTTCAAGCCCCGCTTGGGCTACACGAGAGCTTATCTGAAAAAAGGATAAAAATGAAAGAGACGCTGTCACGGCCGAGAAGGCTCAGTGGGTAAAGGCACTTGCCAC